TCTCTCTCTCGGTGTCTCACACAGGCAAACACACACACACACACACACACACACACACACACACACACACACACACATCATCATCTACTATTCGTCGTCATCTACGCGATCTTCATCATCCAGGTTATCATCGGAATTGTTATCCTTCCGCTAGCTACCCTTGTTTGTCGTTTCCATCGACATTCATGCTGTACATCGAGCGAGAGAATTCACGTTGTCGTTTCGTCTCAAAAGCCCCGGGTTAAAACTTGTCAATATGGCTGCTTAGAGAATGTCTGCAACTTAAGAGCATGAGCATACTCGCACGAGGGCTTTCTCGCATGAATCTGGGCGTGATTGCAGTCAGATTAGGTCGATAAAGTCCCAGTGAAAATATGTCCTCACTCCTCCGCCCCTCCGTCGTCCATCATTATCGTTATCATCATCATTCATTCATATACGTATTCATCGTATTGCTCCTCCATCATCGTTATCATCATCATCACCATCATCTTCATCATCCCCGGTTCCCCATCATAATCATCCTCGTCATCATCATCATCATCGACATCATTATCGTCACCGATTCCCCATCATCATCACTATCATCATTATCATCATCATCATCATAACTATCATCATTATCATCATTATCATCATCATCATCATCGTTCTTGCTCTCCTTTGATGATCGTTTTCGTTGATGACCAAATAACTCGAGGGAGACAGTGGACTGTCCAGAGCTCGATAACCTACTATGCTCTCTGTCATCGCAGCGCGCGTGCGCGCCAGCGTTGGAGGACAGCAGAGAGGAGAGGGAGGAGGTTTCCACTAGGGGAGAGGGGAAGCCACCAGCAAACTTGTCCTCACAAGCCGCGGGACAGAGTAACTGAAAAAAGAGAAATGCCGAAGAGAAAGCGAAGCACTAAAGAGCACGATGCAGCGGGAGAAGAAGAGTGCAAACGGACAAGCAGAGAGAGGGGGGAGAGGTGAGAAAGGAGGAGAAGGGGAGGAGGGGGGGGGAGAGGTGAGACAGAAGGAGAAGGGGAGGAGAAAAGGGAAACGCGAAAGGAGAAAGCAAACACGGGAAAGGAGAACGACGAGCGACTCACCTTGCCACGCCGTGCCACGCTGAGGAACCGAAAACAGAAAAGTGCGAGCAGAGAGAGAAGGGGTGGAACATGGAGAAGGGGGGCCGAAAGGAGAAAGACGAATCGAGTGGTAAGAGAGCGGAGAGTTGTGTGTG